AATCATATCACTAGATTATGCTTTAAATTAATTCCCTCTTTAAAATATATCTTCCTGTTATATGTATACTGACTCATAAACATAAAAACCTATTAAAATAACTTTTATGTGAAACGCAACAAGTATAGAGTAAATAGAAAAAAAAAGAGTCCTGTTTATGTTTAAACTAGCGGTTGACCCAGGATTGCATGGGTAGAGTCTTGAACCGGCACTAGTATAACTCTGAAACCAGAAGTGACAGTGCCTGGCTACTAGCTCGAGGGGAGGAGGGAGTATGTGAAAACTTTATTAAAATATTTATTTCGAAACCGAATAAAGTTAGTTATACTTCAGTATGAACGAACAGCCCCACAGATTAACACATTGGTGATTCATAGTCATAGTGCACATTGTACACACTGTCACTGTTAAATTTAACAAATTGACTTCAGGCTATATTAGGGTGAAACAATTTTCTGATTGATTGAAATTATTGTTATCTATCTGTCTGGTCTATATTACAGGCATTATATAAGAGCTGTAGCTCAGAGTGAAGTAATTTGACTGAAATTTTCAACATATTCCCTTTTCATTATCTATTTTTTAACTATTATAGTGAGAACTGTTAGCTCTTTATCTAAACTTACATAATGCTCCTTTAAAACATTGTAATTAAATGTAGGTAAAATCTGTCATCTAATAAAATATTGAGTCAAATTTTCTACTAATAATATGTACCATTATTAGCAGACCAATCTGTCTAATTTTCAAGTTTGAGATTAGTTAAACATACATTATGCAAGAGCTAAATCTGCCTATTGCAGGTCTTTCTATAGGCATGAAATGTTATTGGATGTTTATTGGATTATATTCCGATTTGCTGTTCAACTTCCATTCATAATAAAATCAAAAAATGGATAATCAAGACTATGTTTTTTATCCTACCAACTTTAGTAATGATGATCGAGGCTAGGCCGCAGATTGAACTGCTAAAATCTCGGTTCATAGTAGATCAATTTGACTGAAATTTTCAGCAAATTCCCTTGACAGTATCTAGTTTTTAACTTTTATAGTTATAGTGAGAACTGCCAGCTCTTTATCTAATCCTCCATAATATATCTTTAATACCTCATTATATAATTGATAAGACCGAGTCAATATAGATAATTATATACACGCTTACTTGTGAATTAATTATATGTTTATGACAAACAAACTTACTACATGTATATAAGCCACTGTTAAAAATTTTTGTGTTCCAATTATAAAACTATCTGCTGACGATTGTACAATAATGATATTGAAAGAAGGTTAGAGAACATTATACCTGGTAAACAAACCCTTAGCCTTGTTAAAGTGTCATCTAAAAGACATGTAGATGCTGAATAATAACATGTACATTGTATGTAGTAAGAGGAACCATTGCAAATAAATGCATAATTATGGGAACAAAAATGGTTAATTCTGTGTGACAATGTCTTAGAAAAATTCATCCAAGTCAAAAGAGACTATCTGAAACTCGTTCATTTTCCTATCGATTGGGGGTGCTGTGGTGGCTCAGTGAGTAAGGCACTGGTTTAGGCTACTAACCAGGAGGTCTGGTGTTCGATCCAAGTGTTTGTCGACAAGTTACCCAGGATTTTCCAGCGTGCTTTCCCCTTGATGCAGGACAGAAGGCCTGACAAGGACAATATCTAGTCATTCAGATGGGATGAAAAACCGAGGTCCTGTACACTTTGAATTAAAATTTCTTGACACCAATCTCTGTTAAATTGTGTCAACCTGTCAAATTAATACCAGTGCCTACTATACATTTATCGTATATTTGCTAGAGTTTCTGTTTGATGAAAGGACCTTCTTACATAGTCATTCGATTCTTAAACATTTTTGGCCAAATTTCTTTTCGATTAACTATGAGCATCTATTGGAAGCCGTAGGCGGAACTGTACATGAATGAGTGTGATAATGACATTGTCTATTGTTGCATAGATTGTATGATAAAAGCCCAATATGTACTTGGTTGGGATCAAGACATACACTACAAAATTACACCACCAGTTGCTTCATATCATTAATTTCGATAATGTGATCTTACTAGTCTAGGTGCTTTAGATCATAAGGTTTGCCGTTGATGACATGGTTTCAATCCTAAACTTGTACCTGATAATTAAGGAGTAGGGTCACCTGCCTGACCTCAGTATCATCCACAGTCTTCGGCATTGCAAACACGACTTATTGGTCAATTTAAATCAACATTAATGTTGTTGTCTTATCGTGAAAACATGGGCTTCTGTTTTGGCATCCAATATTTAAAGATGGGTTCCCAGAAAAGTATTTATCAGGTGGTTATTTCCAATAAAAGTATGGTAATTTTGGTACATGTATATATGGAAAGTAGAGATATCCAATCTTAATAGAAAAATACTGGATTCCCCGAAAAACACTCATGGAGCCTATACAGGACAAAAATGTAAGGGTTCCCGACAATGATTAAGAATTTCTGCACAAGTGATGTTAAAGGTCACACGCGAACATTGAGCGCTTGGTGTACAAGTTGATAAACTTTATGAAGAGTTAGACGTACAACACTTTCTGAGATAAAAATGACGGGAAAAGACGCAGGTAGTGGATAATCCGAGAATTTAATTAGGATTGGATATTTGTAATAAATAGTAAGCGATTAAAGACAACATCGTCTTATGTATGCAATGAATTCTCCTCTGATTTCCAAGACGTGACATAAACATGACCTGGTTTGATCGAATTTTAATAGCAGGGCATTCCTTCGCAATTATAATTGAAGCATAATTATAACAAATTAATTAGTTTGAATATTTTTTTAGTCCAGTTTAAATCACCCAGTTTGTACTCGGGAACCCATCTTTAAGACACAATGATTGAATGAAAATCTTAAACTTGGCACACGGATCACATGCCAGAATGTAATGAGCGATTCAGTGAATAAATTTAAGCTAAACATATCCCACAAGGGAAGACTACCGGAATAACCAGATGCCAAAGACTGCCATTCAATATGCATTCTTCGCTATTTATGTTACATTATTATATACGTTGCAACCCATTTGTGTCCATTTCTAGTTGCCAAAGAATAGCGATTTAGCTCTTTTATAAACCCCTTTTCTCTCTCTGTGCCCCGTATTATTACTCCTCCTGTCTTCTTAATTGTCGAATAGTTAATGTATATACTATTCAAAAAAAGTAGGGGATATTTGATTTTTAAGTGTTATTAAAGTCACCTAATGAAACTGACGAAGAAACAAATGACAAAATGAAATGAAGTTCACATTCATCGATTTATTCCAAATGATCGTTAGACTAAGTAAGGCACAGACTGACCATTATAAGGGTAAAATGATACCCGGGGTCAAACAGCAAAGTTACCACAGCATCACAACCAAGTCAGTAACGGGTAAATCCTCCTCTGTTTGCCAAACAAGCATTGATCCGACGTGGCATACTCCTAATGAGACGTCTAAGGTCATTTTGGTCCAGATTGTCCCATTCCTGTTGCATTGCAGCAGCAAGTTCTTTGACATTGGCAGGACGTTGTTGACGTTGACGTAACCTCTGTCCAAGCATGTCCCAGACATGCTCGATGGGGGAGAGGTCGGGACTCAGTGCTGGCCAAGGTAATGTGGTGATGTTCTGTTGTTGGAGGTAACCTGTAACGATCCTGGCCCTGTGACATCTTGCGTTGTCATCCTGGAAGATGAAACGGGGGCCATGATGTCGTGCGAACGGCACAACATGGACTGCCAAGATGTTGTCCCGGTAGTGCTGGCCTGTAACACGCCCTGCAACAACATGTAAAGCCGTTCTTCCAGCAACAGTGATGCCTCCCCACACCATAACAGAACCACCCCCAAATCGATCATGTCTGATGACGTTAACGTCTTGGAAGCGCTCGTTTCGACGACGCCACACCCTCCTACGTCTGTCCCAAAAATCAACAGTGAACCTTGACTCATCTGAAAACATCACATTGCTCCAGCGTCGATTATCCCAGTGTTGACGATCCCTACACCAACGACGTCTTGCCTGAATGTGATGATCTCTCAAACAAGGGATCACGCGAGGACGTCGGGCGCGAAGGTGACCCCTATGCAGTCGATTCCGAATCGTCTGGCCACTCACTCTCACACCAGTGTCTGTTTGAAGACGAGCGCTGATCTGATTTGCTGTGATGACACGATTTCTCAAGGCCAAGGTACGGATAAATCGATCCTGGGCTTGAGTTGTCGCCCTTGGTCGACCTGAGCGTGGTCTGTCCTGTACAGATTGTGTATCACGGTATCTGGACCATAGCCTGCTTATGACAGACTGAGAAACATTCATCGTCCGCGCCACAACCGCCTGTGTTGTGCCGATCTGTAGCATGCCAAGGGCACGTAACCTTTCATTTTGGGTAAGCCGACGCATATCAAAATTTGTTTTCTGGTCACTAAAACAATTAAACTGATGTTTCCACCCTGGAATTCAATGCCACAATGACTGTAACATTCAAAGTCAGAGTCGTGCAAATCTTGGGTTGGACCCCCATGATGATCCCAGGCATCACCTGCATTCCATGCGGTAGCTATTGGTGCGTTTGGGCGTCACATGTAACTGGAAATGTTTCTTCTGTTAGGTTCTATAGTGACTTTTTTTCGTAGCCATTTGCATATTTTAGTATTATGCCCCCAAAATCAAATATCCCCTACTTTTTTTGAATAGTATATTTCTACAAACAAGCATTCAAGAAGCCATACAAGAAGTTACAGCTCCTTTAATTACTAAATTAGAACAATGAATGAATCATAATAAGGTGCATGAATGGACCAGTCAGAGATAATAAAACTGCTTTATCTGGGCAATCTATACATGACTCTTCTTATGTCAATATGCCAAGAGGTGAAGAGGGAACTGGCAAAAGGCAGGCTGCATTCATTATCAATAAATCAAACACGTTACAAGGAAGAATAAGATACAAAAATGTTAACAAGACAGTGACTGATTTTTACCTGTTCAATTAGTAAGGTGGTCTGGGTGATAATCTTAATTATTTTTATCACTTTTCCATCATAAATCTTCACCACTTGACAGATTTTATCCACCGAATATTTATAAAATTACACTCACTTCCGTGATCAGCAATCTACATCCGGACTACAGATTGCAGGGAGTATCATTGGTTGATATTATTGCTAAACCGAAAGTGGAGAAAAACAATAACAACCAATATATCTACGTCATTGATAACAACCCAGTTTGGAGAAAAAACAGTAGCATACCAGGATTTTGCGAAGAGATCTAATTGAGTTTGAATTGCTGCTGCTCATGAAACTAGCCCCGAAGGTGTGGGTTTTTTTTAGGTGCTTAATCCATAGCATGTACGCTGAAACCTTTTATTTGGCTTTCTTTAGTGTAATTTCCAGTGGTTTTGCTGGTCCGACCAATGACCGAAACCAACAGGTATTTACCGAAACCCAGTGATAACGTTTCTAGTGTAAGGAAAGATTTGTAATATAAGAATCTTCAATGAAAAAAATGGAATTAAACAGTTAGAAGGTTTAATGGATCCATGTGATTTAAAGCGTCGACACATGGATCCCAAATTTTCACAGTCTACAACAGAATACAATACAGAACAGCTGTATTCATCCGCAAAAAAAAATAGTACCTAAAATTCATGTACATTAAATAGGTTTAAACGTCAAATGAGGTCAAATGAATAGCTCTAGACGTCTTTAATATATACTAAATATTCGTGTCATCCCAAATCGACAATAAAACAGTGAGAAAAAGGAAAATCTAAGTAATGGCAATCTAATTAACATAAAATTTACGACATAATGGATTCTTCAATGTTTTGATGGTGATCATGAAGAAAATAGGCCTACATCTGTTCTCAGGAATCCGATAAGATTTTCAAAAAAAAGATCAGTAGAATTATAGATTGTTATTCCACAAAGTCGAAAGCTATGTTAGATTTTTCATTCTGTCAAGTTAGAGCGAGTTTATATTGCCGTACTTTGAGCTCCAAACCCTATGGAAATGAAGGCGGAAGTGGCCATAATAGTTTTAGAGATCACTACGTGATGGCGCTCCTGCGTCGCGACAAACGGGGCCGATTTGTCAAGTTGAAACACAATCTTCTACATGATAAACCTGCCAAATACTTGAAAAATCTCAAAAATGTCAATTTTTACCATATTTTGACTCAATTTATACCTAAATTTTTTCTTATATTAAAATCTCACTCCTGATATATGGATGGTAACTATGCAGGAGGTTTCAGGTTTAATCCTCCAAGAGAGTTCCTTGGTCCTTGGGATTTTAAACCTGTTTTCCCTTGTCAGTGGTGCATGCAGGATGGAGGGTCTACCAAAGGAACTGTGTCTAGTCATTCAGACTTTTTTTTTTTAAATGTTGTGTCGAATGTTGTGACTAATACTATAATTAGTAACATGGCCTGAATACATTTCCGATGTTTTCGTATTTGGAACAATACCATTTTAAATAACACGATAATTATTGTTTTTATACGAAATTAATAAAGTCCTGGTCGTAATATTCATGATTTTCGATGTTAAATGTAGTCGGAAGCTACGAGACCCGGAAGCTACCGCTTTGCAAAACTGAAAGTTTGACATCGCGCGCTTACGTCAGTCTTGTATTCATGGCAATTTCTGCACAATAAAACATAATTAAATAGTATTGTGAATATTCAGAACAGGATGAATTAATAGGGCTTTTTTTTTTACATACATTTTTAATTTGTAATGTGTGTTTTTAAACTCATTACGGTTATGTTACCAATGTGGACAGCAATAATGTGGTCTGCAGTTGGAATTTGTTTAGCACACGTAAAGGATCGTACATGAATGGTGTTGAAAATATCATCAACAATACAATTCATACCGTGCGTGATCAGTAACTTGCAAGTTATGCACAAAATATGAATAATGTTTTCCAAAATGACAATAACCACCAAAATTTAATAACCAAAGCTACCGGAATGTAAATGGGCTATCAAGGCAAATTAAAAGTAAACTGTTGTTAGTGTTACATTTAAAATATGTAATTGCACCTCAAATGACCAAAACTGCTAATCAAAAGTTTTTAAATTTATTAATGTAGGCCTAGGCTACAAGCATATTAAAATGATATTAAAATATATAAAATATGTAAATTAATTTGTCTTTTATTCATGGTGGGTGGGTAATTTTAACGCGTGATTAAAGTCTCCCTCTTTTGACCTTAATTCTCCTGACATTTTTACAAAAATCTCCTGACATTTTACTTGTGGCCAATCACATGTATGCATGATGGGATGAAAAAAAGGGGTTGCACTATGCGTACCTGTTGGCACGTCCAAAAAAGAACCCTTGACTTCTAGAATAAGAGTAGGCAGATAATAACGCTGTCGGAGCAAAATGTCCTTATGGCACACAGCATAAAATTGTGACCCCTAGGACCTGAACCTTCCTTATTTCAAATAAATGCATTTCTACATTCCTTATATCTTTTTTAATCTCACAAAGATACATGTTAAAGCTGCAATAAGCCAAAATTTACCTATAGACAGGGAGCCCAGGGGGCCAACCTAGCTGAAAAGTGTACCAATTTTTTCCTATATCAATGCATGTATATCTGGTATCATCAGAATGTAAGTCTGCCGGGTTTCCGGTGGTGGGTGTGGTATTTCACGCCCAAAATGCCATGCCCCCAACTAGGCTAGATTTGCTCAAAAGTGTAACACATGAAAATCTTACAGCAGTGTACCGTACATCTTCAGGTGTTACAAAAACACTCTAACAGACATTTCTAGTGGTGGGTTACCCCTGACAGAGCTATGTAATTGTCACCACCAGAAACCCGGCAGACTTACATTCTGATGATACCAGATATACATGCATTGAGACCATATCATATAGGAGAAAATTGGCACACTTTTCAGCTAGGTTAACCCCCTGGTCTCACGCTCTACTAGAGTTTGCGTGTTCGATCCCTCATTGGCAGAGAAAGTTCATTGGAATTTTCTGGCATGGTTCCCCCCTTGTAGGTGGTGCAGGACAGAGGGCCTGACAAGGACAGCTGTCTAGTCATTCGGATGGCATGGAAAACTGATAACCAGTGTATACATTGGCGTGCATGTAAAAGATCACTTGGCAGTTGGAATTCGATATAAGAGTAAGCCATAGTGCCGCTGCTCGGGCAAAATTTCCGTCATAACACACTGTATGGCGTATGTCCCTCTTCATTAACGCAGTTAGAGCAGAACAGTAGGACGTTAAACCCCATTTCACCTTACATATATAGGTTAAGTAAGACACTATAAAAAATACATTTTGGAGCAAATTTTATCAAAATCGATCAATTATGGTCATTTAAAGTTTACATCTGTTTCTAATGATTTTACATCACCATCTTTTTATCTCTTAGACAAATAAAGTAATAACAATTTTGCCATCTTTTTAGATATTTACATGCAAACTACTGGCTAGTTGTGCCATTAAAAAAAAATATGTTTTAACACAATTTTGAATGGTATTTTCAGATAAAATCTTGCATGCCATGACATTATCAAGTTTTGTTTATAAATTGAAAAAAAAAAAAAAAAAGAATATGCATATACATGATAACTATTATTTCAATGATTAATTATAACCAATTATCAAAGTTACAAACATCATAATCATATTAAAAATTTTATAATAAATTCTTAGATATAAATCTATAAAATATTGCATCATTAACAATAACAACCATCTATTCATAAATATAACTATATCACCAATACTGTATTATATTAAAGCAAGAAATTTGTGCTACATGAAGTGGCACAGGACATGAGTCAAGGCAAATATCCATCAGGGGTGACAACAACAAAAGCAACATCTCTTAATGTGATAGAAATAGAAACCATAATTTAATTATTAAAATAAATTGAGGCTGCATTGAGATTTAATTTATTTCCAGAGGGAGTAACAGTGGCTCAGTGAGTAAGACGTTGACTCGCTAACATGGATGTTCCTGCATTCATCAGGATCTTCTTGCATGGTTTCCCCTTGTCAGTGGTGCATGAAGAAGGCCCTGGCAAGGGGCAACATATAGTGTTGGATGGGATGAAAAACCGAGTTCCCATGTACTGCAGTACACCTTGGCGTGCACGTAAAATAACCCTTGACAGTTGGAATTCGATATAAGAGTAGGTCATTGCGCAGCTGTCTGGGCAAAATATCCCTCATAGAACACTGTATGGTGTATGCCTGCTTCATTAGCCCAGTCAGTGTAGAACAGTAGGACGTTAAACTCTATTTCATTTCTATTTCCAGCACTCTAGAATTCCCTTGCCCGCATCATGTTTTTAGCCATTCACTATAACCCATTATGGTTTGCTCTGATGAAGAATGTAAAAGGAAACATAATGAACGGATCATACCAGGGCTTTCTCGTCAAACCTTTGCCAGTCGGTCCATTTTTAAACAATATTGTTTACGTTGCAATAGAAAAATATTTTCCCCAAAGAATATAACAATTTTTAACAATATCCAAGTTGTTTTATATATATTTTGATAAGTGTTTTTTACACATAAAAACTAGATATTTAACTGTATTTACTGTGATTTAAGGTTAAATTCTTTGAAATTCAAATTGTGTGGCATGTAAATTGATTGAGAGGTCATTTTCACTGCCAGTCAGTTCAGATGAAAGAAGAGTGCTGGATCATGTTGTATTATAATTATGAAAAACAAGTTTAAATACTCAGATTTGCAATGAAAACTGACTCATGTATTGAAAACAGGAAAGACCTATACAGCTGCACTGAAAACATAAAGTCTTTTAAATATTTCCGAAAAAAATTTAAATGTGTATTATTCAAAATACTTTGTCTGGAGCAGAACAATGATCACATATTTTAATATTCTGCCATTAGCACTAGCAGTGGTCATTCACATTAATAGGCCCCCCATCTATTGCTGTTTACAATAACAAGAAATATTCCAAGCAGGTCTGGAAATAGCACCTGACATTTTCAACTTAGTGCCGGACATGTATTAATAATATCAATAAATAAAGACAAATCAGTGCCGGACAAAATGACAGGCACCAGAGGTTTTGTGTCTAACAAAGCCTGAATCTGTGCCTGACATTGTCTACAGGTGCCTTATTTCAAGGCTTGATTCCAAGGTAAAGAGCTTTCAACTTAGTGCCGGACATGTATTAATAATATCAATAAATAAAGACAAATCAGTGCCGGACAAAATGACAGGCACCAGAGGTTTTGTGTCTAACAAAGCCTGAATCTGTGCCTGACATTGTCTACAGGTGCCTTATTTCCAGGCTTGATTCCAAGGTAAAAAGCTTTCCATTAACTCATATTGGATTGTCTTTTATTGCACAGTTTTGCTGTAATGCACAGCTATGTCTATTATAAATGCATGCTCTATTATACTCTGCTGTTTCTGACATTAATTAGTTCCACATTGGAGACAAATTCAGATATTCTTTCAACCTATTTGGCAACGGCAACTGATTTATATAATTGTTACTTTTAAGGTTCTGTAATATCACGATACGACACTGACTCATAAGATTTAAATGGCGCGGAAGCTGATATATCTTTACGGTTATTCCACGATCACCATTCGCTGATTTATAGTCTAATATTCTCATATAGCTGCCACAGTTTGAGAACTTTGGTTCATAGTTTGTCATGCATATATGAAAAAGTCCAGGTAGTGACGCAGTTACATATTTGATCAACATTAATTGGTCAGAATTAAAGAGATATATATCAGAATAAGACGTCACACCAAATCTGTCCTCTGTTAACTTCTGTAAGATTAACAGAGCTCCGTCACTGCTGTACAGTAAGTGAAAACAACTTCCTCCAAATAATGATGGCAACGACAAGTTACTTCTCTTGTAAACTTCTCCACTGGATAATGAAAACAAAACTAATTCATGTTTGATGCCTTCTTTTCGGCATTCGTAATTAGCTATTGCTACTCGTGACCAACAGAAACGTGGATCGAAAGCCATGTAAGGCTGCACTTCATGATTTAAGGTATAATTTTCAACAACTTCCATGGTTTTGTTACAAAAAAGAAATAAATTGTAACAAAATGTCCGCTGACTCTCTGAATGGAAGTAAAACAAGATGGCTGTATGTGAGAGATCTGGAGTAATCTCGCAGTGAATAACTGTCATGTTTTTGTGTGGAGCCTCAATAATTCCCAACACACTTTGTTTATCTAAATCAACCAATGGGAATGTGACTTTACTCTGCATATTTTCCGTCCAGTTTAAAACAAGTAGAGTAAGTGAGGCTCGTTGAGCGGCTGCTACACTGCGTAATTTGTACTGATTTATTATGTAGTAGATTAAGTCTTCACCAAATGGTATACATAATGTCCTGTTCTTATATCTAAAAAAAAAAGAGAGCAAACATATCATTAAATTCAACATCAATGTTTCATCATACGGTAACAAAAGACATGGACCTACTATGGGTCGTGTGCATTATCCTTTCATTAGCTGGAAGTTGTACTAGTAATTTCAATTTTTTTCAATTGATTTTGAACGCTTCCTGAAGTCTTTAAGAAATAAAAGAAGGTTTTAGAATTGAAATATTTCACTGTCTATAATGTATTTCTCTGCAATCTTCTTCTAAACCAATTACATTACATTTTCGTTTTGTATTTCTGATTTTTACAGTACTGTCTAAGAATACTCTCTTAATATTGCCCCAAGAGCAAATGGATGACAATCCACAACTTGAGATGAGTAAAAAAAATAATAAATAACATAAAAGTAGTTAAAGGGAGGTCACTGTTGTTTGTTTGTCTATCTGTTCAGGGTTGGTGTATAAGTACAGGGGTAGCTTGGACTGGAGAGTAATATAGACCTGGTAGTGATGGAGTACCACTTCTGGTTTCTGAGGTATGCTACTTCCTTCCTATGGTTCAATTTTATATCAATAATTTGCTTGCACGCAGGGGGTCTTGAGCAGTGGGAAGAAACCGGGGGACCCTGGAGAAAACCATGGTTGGACAGGCGACCCTACCCCATGTCACGTACAAGCGAGGACTCAAAACCATGCCACAACAAGACTCAATGACAGACCTTATGATCCAAAGCGCACCCAGTAGTTCAGTAAGGCGCTCACTGAATAACCAGGATATCTGGGTTTGATCCCTGTTTTGGGCTGTCCTGACAAAATTTACTTCATACCACACTGTATGATGTATGCCTATCTTCATTAGCCCAGTCGGTGCAGAAAATTATGATATTAAACCCCATTTCATTTTATTTCAAACAATAATGCCTATCTCAAATGATCTTCAATATGATCATCCAGGGTGAGATAGGCATTCTAATATACGTATGTTTAGGTATATTAATGAATCCAGAATAGGATCTATTGAAACACCCTCGGCACCTGATGAATAAATGAAATAAAATGAAATGGGGTTTAACGTCCTACTGTTCTGCTCCGACTAGGCTAATGAAGACGGGCATATGCCATACATATGTGAGAAATTTTGCCCGGGCAGCAGCAGTATCGTCTACACTTATATCGAATTCCAACTGCCAAGGGATCTTTTACGTGCACGCCAATGTATACGCAGGACCTTGGTTTTTCGCACCATCCGAACGACTAGACAGCTGTCCTTGAGCGGCCCTCCTTCCTTTACCACTGACAAGAGAAACAACGTCGGAAAATCCTGATGAATTATCTCGGCCAATGCATGGATCGAACACGAGACCTCCGGGCTAGCGAGCCAGTGTCTTACCCGGCTCCCTAATGATCAAAGACCATGATAATAAAATATACATCCATGTTAACATTAGTATTAAAGTGTCTAGAAACATACCTCTGTATTTCTAGAAGTTTTTTGTATATTTTAACACTGACTCTAATATACTGTACACACAAACTTTCACGATCACATGACGAGTCATCACAATAATATGTATATTTATCCATCCCATAATTGCCTGGAAGAACAAAACTTATGACAATTATAAATGCACAATATTCAAGTATGTAACATCAAGACTATACATGTAGCATTTGCTATTATGTAACATTGAGGATATATACAGAGCATTTTCTGTGTTTCACTACGTAACATTGAGACTATACATGTAATGTTAGTTAACTGTAACTAAACTATGTAACCTGTACATGTAATGTTAGTTAAATGTCCCCATGTAACAGTATTTACTATGCAACACTGAGAGTGTACTTGTAGCATTAGCCATGTATGAGTATATAAGATTGACACTGTACACATAGCATTAGTTATGTGTAAATATGAAACATTGAGACTGTTCCTGTATCGATAGCAAAGGTGTCACTATATATCATCGAGACTGTTCCCGTAGCATTAGCTAGGTGTCACTATGTAACATTGAGATTGTTCCCCCGTATCATTAGCAAGGTGTCACTATGTATCATTGAGACTCTACTTGTAAGCATTAGCTAGGGCCTCCCTTGTTTGCATGACGAATGACAAGCGAATGACAAATGACAAGGAATATCTAAGCAATAACTGCTCCCTTTAGGCCAATATAATTCAACTACAGTATTGAGTTTAATAACTATCGACTAAATTGGTATTTTTTGGGGTTATTAATATTTTATTTCAATTGGATGAAACTGATCAGGGAACAGCCTGTATCACACTAGATAAGAAACCTCATCTCCCAACCTTCCGTCAGTATTTCTCAACGTTTTTACCTACGTTATCGTAGCTAGTATCAGACCTCTTCTCATACAAAAAATGAATCTGTCATTCGTCTGGTGACTTGTCATTCACTTTGTCATTCGTCCGGTAAATCTGTGCCATTCGCCTGGGGATTTGTCATTCACTTGTCCATTCGTCTGGTGAACATCTGTCATTCTCTAGATCTTTGTTACTCACTTTCTCATTCCTACAGTCGGTGGATTATGTCATTCAGTTTGTCATTCGTCCGGTGAATCTGTGTCATTCTCTGCCATTCGCCTGGTGATTTCTGTCATTCACTTTCCCATTCGTCTGGCGAAGTTCTGTCATCCACTTTGTCAGTCGTCTGGTGAACCTTCGTATGTCATTCACCTTGTCATTCGTGTGGTGAACCTGTGTCATTGAGTTCGTCATTCGTCTGGTGAACCTGTCATTCTGTTTGTCATTCGTGTGGTGAAACTCTGTCATTCGTCAGGTGTACCTCTGTCATTCGTCTGGTGAACCTGTCATTCTGGTTGTCATTCGTCTGCTGGACCTAGCTGTCATTTTGTTTGTCATTCGTGTGGTGAACCTATGGCATTCACTTTGTCATTCGTGTGGTATACCTATGTCATTCACTTTGTCATTCGGTAGTGAACCTCCGTCATTCTCTTTGACATTCATCTGGTGAATCTCTTTGATTTTGTTTCTCATTTGTGTGGTGAATCTATGTCATTCACTTTGTCATTCGTGTGGTGAACCTGTCATTCTGATTGTCATTCGTGTGGTGAACCTGTCATTCTGATTGTCATTCGTGTGGTGAACCTCTATCATTCTGTCTGTCATTCATATGGTGATCCTCTGTCATTATGTCTGTTATTCGTCTGGGGAACCTCTGTCATTATGTCTGTCATTCGTCTGGGGAACCTCTGTCATTCTCTTTTTCATTCGTGTGGTGAACCTCTGCCATTCTCTTTGTTATCCGTCTGGTGAACCTCTGTCATTTTATTTGTCATTCGTGTAGTGAATCTATGTCATTCACTTTGTCATTCGTGTGGTGAACCTGTCATTCTGATTGTCATTCGTGTGGTGAACCTCTAAAATTCTGTTTGTCATTCGTCTGGCGAGCCTCAGTCATTCGTGTGGTGAAACTCTACCATTCTTTGTCATTCGTCTGCTGTACTTCTGTCATTCGTGTGGTGAACCTGTGTCATTGAGTTCGTCATTCATCTGGTGAACCTGTCATTCTGTTTGTCATTTGTGTGGTGAAACTGTTATTCTTTGTCATTCGTCAGGTGTACCTCTGTCACCACACGAATGACAAAGTGAATGACAGGTTCACCACACAAATGACAAAGTGAATGACATAGGTTCACCACACGAATGACAAACAAAATGACAGAGGTCAAGCAGACGAATGACAACCAGAATGACAGATTCACCACACGAATGACAGAGGTACACCTGACGAATGACAAAGAATGACAGAGTTTCACCACACGAATGACAAACAGAATGACAGGTTCACCAGACGAATGACGAACTGAATGACACATGTTCACCACACGAATGACAAAGTGAATGACAGGTTCACCACACGAATGACAAAGTGAATGACATAGATTCACCACACGAATGACAAACAAAATGACAGAGGTCCAGCAGACGAATGACAAACAGAATGACAGATTCACAACACGAATAACAGAGGTACACCTGACGAATGACAAAGAATGACAGAGTTTCACCACACAAATGACAAACAGAATGACAGGTTCACCAGACGAATGACGAACTCAATGACACAGGTTCACCACACGAATGACAAAGTGAATGACATACGAAGGTTCACCAGACGACTGACAAAGTGGATGACAGAACTTCGCCAGGCGAATGACAAAGTGAATGACAGAAATCACCAGGCGAATGGCAGAGAATGACACATATTCACCGGAAGAATGACAAACTGAATGACATAATCCACCGACCGTAGGAATGAGAAAGTGAGTAACAAAGATCTAGAGAATGACAGATGTTCACCAGACGAATGGACAAGTGAATGAAAAATCCCCAGGCGAATGGCACAGATTTAACGGACGAATGACAAATTGAATGACAAGTCACCAGACGAATGACAGATTCATTTTGTGTATGAGAAGAGGTCTGATACCAGCTACGATAACGTAGTTAAAAACGTTGAGAAATACTGACGGAAGGTTGGGAGATGAGGTTTCTTATCTAGTGTGATACAGGCTGTTCCCTGATCAGTTTCATCCAACTGAAATAAAATATTAATTACCCCAAAAAATACCAATTAAGTCGATAGTTATTAAACTCAATACTGTAGTTGAATTATATTGGCCTAAAGGGAGCAGTTATTGCTTAGAAATTTCTTGTCATTCGTCATTCCCTTGTCATTCGTCATGCAAATTAGGGAGGCCCCATTAGCTAGGTGTCACTATGTAACATTGAGACTGTACATGTAGCATTAGCTATATGTGTGAGTAAGTAACATTGAGACTGTGTAATGATGTATCATTGAGGCTGTTCCCGTAGCATCAGCTAGGTGTCACTATGTAACATTGAGACTATTCCCTTAGCATTAGACATATCCTTTCAATATTTGTTGAACAAACCATTGCTGCATTAACTTTCGCAGAAGCAAATTCAGTATGTTAGGAATAATATTTATCTGCCAGTACGTCAACACTGACAAATATGACTGGAATAAAAGCCTAACGCTGATGCAATCTTACAAATTGTATACTAACCAGCAATTGGTTCCCATTCTTTGACATAACCTGAGAAGAGAACAATCCAAGCTCTTGTATATCTTGGCAGTTTAACCATTCTATATTGACCAGTTGGATTGCATGTTGTGCTTTCTTTAGGCATCTTGGATCTTTTACGATTTGTGTTCCCCATTATATTATCTCATCAGTTCACAATAAACTGAAAAGAAAACAACAAGAAGTTAATGAGCGCAAGAGATGGGAGGGTCCCTCTGAACCAAAATAAAACAAAAAAAAGAGATAAGTGCCTAATATGGATAATATATATCACTTCATTGAATCGATCAAATCAATATAACATCCTACTATATTCCGCACTAACAAAGGTTCATGAGGAGAGGCATATGCCTTGCAGAGTGCTATGGGGAAATTTTGGCCCTTACATCGGTTCTTCAGTCTTCTCTTATTTCGACTGAAAACACTTACATGATGCAGCTTAGGGACATGTGAAAGGGACTAATATATGGTGGACAAGGATGAAGGCGGCTGGGGAGTGGGGACCTAACATCAATTTATTACATGTATCTTGTTTTTGTTGTTTTATTCACTTTGTTTCGTTTCATTAACAGGTTCATTTCAATTCATTTTTTTTTCTTTGTACATTGTTTTTTACTTCATTTTAATGCATTAAATATGTCCTACTGCCAGTCATGTTAATGAAACATAATATCCAAATAACAAATTAAATAATCAACACTGACTGATTACATGGTAGGCTAATCAATGTTGTTGCTACAGTAAGGAGTAGGCCTATCACCAATATCATTAAACTTAACACGTCTGTAACTAAGTTATAATATAATCAACACTGATTAATCAAATGGCTGGATTTTAATTATTTTGCTAAAATAAAGTACATGAAGTGATCAATTAAAGCCTGTTTTCCACGTAAATGTTTTCACAGCATTTCCACACGTTTTCCAGCGAAAAGTTCAGCTTTATGTAGATGAAATGGGAACGTTTCCATGTATTCTGTGAAAATGTGTGCTGAAATGCTGTGAAAATGTGTAGGCTTCCCGGTATATGGAAAATAGACTTTATGTTCGGTCAGGCTAATCAATATTCCTGATAACTGATGATATCTTTGTCTTCTTTCAATTATTTGGGTCGTAGGGGTCTTTAGCAGATTGCCAGTATGTTGAAAACAGAAAACCCATAGGTGTAGGCCTACAATCCGATAGATAGGGGGCTGGGGGGTGAGCCAACACCTTTTCACGTACAGAATCTTGCAATTAAAAAAAAATGTGGTCTGCGCATGTTTGAGTCTCCTAATGGATGATCAGTTCAAACATATTTTGTGTATGATTCAAATCGCAAAATTGTACTGGAAAATAGTGTTGAATTACCGGTACCGTATTATAAAATTGTAGGCCTATCGGATGTTGCAAAAAATGATTCCTTTTGGCGAACAGTCAAAAATAGTCGGTAAGGATTCCAAAATAGGGGGGGGGGGGAAGGGGTATTTTCATATTGCAGTTATTGGGATGGAGGAACTGTCAGTGACAGGGTCAAATCAGGAATGTTCGGTGTTCCTAAAGCAAACTTTGCAAATAAATTTAGGAACACAGAATAGGCTTACATCTTCATGACATTAGACCCATCCGTTACCTAATCCAAATGACATGGTGTATACTTGATAGTCATAGTGACATAATGATAGTGATAGTGCTCTGTAATTAGTAGGAATATTTATAAAGTCGGGGACACAGTTTTCTATCTATTAAAAAACAAAATTTAGGCCTCGCCTAACTGCATATGTAGATAATCTGGTAAAGTTTTGAACAATAACAACTCATCATTGCGATTGATTTATGCATGACTTTCATGCCATTTCTCACAGCAGCCGACCGATTTACCTGGCTTTAACTATATTTCTGTGATGTCGTTAAAAACCCTCTTCCACAAACCTATAATATAATAATAATTCTTGTAAACAATATTTCGTCTCTCATTTTGCTCTTATAATTACCTCCCCTTCTGCCATTACCAATGTCAAGGTCGTTGAATTTTTAATTGGTAACATAATAATAATAATATAATAATAATAATATTAATAATAATAATAGCTTTATTTCCAATCAAGGGTCCACAGGGGACATGGTACAGAGCAAACAAAGAGAGAAAACCCAAATGACAGTCAAGTAATAAAATATAATAGTATACATAGCTCTCAACAGGGGAGATACACATATAAGTACCTTATGCACTAAGGCTTCATGCCGATAAAAAACGGCTCATGAGAACATTATTATTTATCATGAAAGGGAGATAAATTCACTTAGCTCTTATGTAAGCCTACACATTATTCCCTGTATGGTGCTTAACCAAGGTAGCCAAAATATTAAATAACCTTATGGCAAGTTCTTGTGCAAAAAGCGACCAAGTTCATTTAATATGTCTACATTTTCACAAGTTAGTAACCAAATATATTTGTTCAGACTACTCAAGTTGATAAAGTTAGTATTGGATTTTTCAATAACCTCAAATAAACATTTCCTGTCTGTTGATAGATGTGCACAATCAATTAAAAAATGCACTTCGTTTTCAACTTTCCCTGACAGGCATTTTTCTCAGAGGCGTGATTCACGATTTAAACCTATATACCTGCCCGTTTCTATTTTGAGCCTATGTGAGGATATTTTGAGCTTGGTGATATCCCTTCGGAATCCATATTTCCTCAAGGATAAGTAATTCTCATATCCAAAGTTAGTTGGACATATAAATCTAGTTTCCCAGTATGCAATGATTCCCTTTGCTTGAGCCAAGTTTCTTTATGACATTTGACCAGCAACTTTTTCAAATTGGTCTTAAATGTCGAAAATTTATAACATGAAGTGTTTATTAAGGGCACGTTCATGAGTTGACATAGTTCAGTGACAGTGCTGAACCGTGACTGTCCAACTTTGGAAAGTTCTTTGCTAGTTGCGAGAGCATGAGCTAATAATGAATCTGGAGACGGACCACTAACTTTGATGCCCATCCACTGATACAGATCAGTGTTCTTATCCCTTGCTGACCGCTTTCTACCACACATGTACGTGGTTACTTTAGTAACGGTAGACTACGGAAGACCATTAGAGTCAATCAAATGAAAAAAATTCTGATTATCATGTTATTGCAAGATAGCTTTCATGTTTACAACGTAAATTACAAGATAGCTACCACTCCAGAAGCCTGTGAGTAATTTATTTCAAGATCGCCATACACTGATTTATCGAAAGGCTAGGCCAATGTTACTTACAGAGTCGGCACTTATTCATGTCATGCTCCAATTATTATTAATATCGTTCGTTATTTTCATGCCTCCAAATTAGGCTCCAAATGAAATGGGGTTTAACGTCCTACTGACTAGGCTACTGTTCTGCTCCGACTGGGCCAATGAAGACGAGCATACGCCAAGCAGTGTGCTATGATTAGTATGATGAAGGAAGTTTTGCCCGGAGAGCGGCACTACCTCCTACTGATCTTATAACTTATATCGAATTCCAACTGCCAAACGATCTTTTACGTGTAGGGCCTACCTACGCCAATGTTTACACGGGACCTAGTTTTCTCCCATCCGAACGACTAGACAGCAACGCCGGATTAACCATGGTGGGGGCGCTTGGGCCTGGAACATGTGGGGACCCCTGATCACCGACCGCGAGCGCCGATGGCGCGAAGCCCCGAAATTTTCAGAAATTGGAGGCCGGAAACGTGATTTCCTGGCATTTCAGACACTTGTGTCGGAGCCATAATTAGAAGTACCTCCCCCAGAAAAAAATAAAATTCTGCCACAAAATTAGCGCATTCTGGCGTTATTTCAGTGGACCAATCCATGCGAGTGCTATGAAATGATGGCATTTCTAGAGGAGGGGGCTGGGGCCCATTGAGCCCGTTAAATCCGCCACTGTAAGTGAGCAGAGCTACATCAGACCTAATTTTGAAGTCGCTCAGTGATAAATAACGGGGTCACTTGATTCGGAATCGTATTATATCGCCCACGATGAATTGATGAATGGAGGCCGTAACGTTACGACCAAGCCGGACTCGAATTTTGACGAACGTCTAACACTGTAGTACCAAATGGTAATACGAGATTTAATCAAGAAATCTGAATATTTCGTGTGATCATGATGTGCATCTCATCAAATTCAGCTTATACCCACAACAAATATCAACAACAACAACAACAACTACAGCTTATATACAATCGTACGTCAATCGGAGGCAAAATTCGCGCTACTCGAAATGGGGGGCCCTCTAATGTGGCGAGCCCTGGGGCCTGGGCCCCATGGTGCCCCGTGGTTAATCCGGCGTTGCTAGACAGCTGTCTTTGTCAGGCCCTCCGTCTTGCACCACTGACAAGGAAAAACCACGCGGAAAATCCCGATGAACTAGCGAGCCAATGTCTTACTCACTTAGTCACCGTGGCTCCTTCGTGCCTCCATTAAAATCATAATGTTAATACTCTCATTAACTTCATACTACCACCGCGGCGACTTCATTCATACGCGCATTGATGTCACGATTCATCAATTTCATGCTCTCCTTAAAGCCACAGAACGCTATTTATATTTTTCGGAAAATTTCTTTAAATTTTGATTTTTGGCCGTTTTTGTTTTAGTTTGTGTTGACTCTACACAGTTTTTGTTGTCTACAGAAGTTGCCGAGATTAGCGATTTTTTTTTTCATTTCATCAGAAAGTTAAAAACTGTGCAAAGTCAAAACACACGAAAACAAAAAAGGCCGAATATCGTCACGTTTCTCGCGAACCGACAAATCTGAGTTTCCTAAATTTTTAGAATAAATTGCGTTGAAATTTGTGCTCTGTTCTTATTTCTGTGGGCATCAAATAAAACCATTTATTTGTGATTTAATATTGAATACAAATACATCAGGACACTAACTACCATAACCTAACCAGTTTATTTGTTACTTGTGATACCCTCACTTTTATAAAGGTCAAAGTCTCATTCGGTATTTCGTACGAAAAAAAATAAAATGGTACGGTTCACATTCGCCCCAATTCGCCACTTTGTAAGATCAAACAAGGGCTTTTTTTTTTCTTGGACAGTTTATGGCGTTCTAATCCTATTCGCCATAAGTTCGTCGATTTGGGAGAATATTTTATCCAAAGTTCCTCATTAGCCATGGTGTATAAAATCAAGCCCAGTATTAATTGTATATATAATCTCAAGGCATCACAATACAGTAAGATACATTCTGGGAGATTAGATAAAGAGCTGGCAGTTTTCACTATAATAGTTAAAAACTAAATAATGTAAAGGGAATTTGCTGAAAATTTCAGTCAAATTGATCCACTCTGAACCGGGAATTGAGCGATTGAATTTTCGGTCTAGCCTCGATCATCATTACTAAAGTCGGTACGAAAAAACCCCAACATAGTTTCGATTATCAATTTCTTGATTTAATCATGAATGAAAGTCGAGCAGCAAATCGGATCCTAATCCAATAAATTTCGCAGGCTAGCGATGACATCGAGAGTTGATTATGGTCTGGATAAGTAAATTAATGTCTAATTAATGCTGTCATTACACAATGGGTTCTTTTTGTTGTATTCCTGATTGTTTTCAAATTTGACTGTACAGCGCAGTGGACGCTTACGGCTAGCCTCCGGATCCATTCACTTTTTTGAATTGTCTGTATGTTTGTGTTTTCCTGAGTATGATATCCTGTCCGTGTATTTGTTTTTATGTAAAATTTTGTGTGGTGCAGCCCCCCTGCACTTACTATATAGACAACATTTCAGGACCAAAAAAAGACCTGCAATAGGCAGATTTAGCTCTTGCATAATGTATGTTTAAAAGTAAATCACAACATTTAGTCAAAACGATCGCTTGAGCCAAGTTTCTTTATGACATTTGACCAGCAACTTTTTCAAATTGGTCTTAAATGTCGAAAATTTATAACATGAAGTGTTTATTAAGGGCACGTTCATGAGTTGACATAGTTCAGTGACAGTGCTAAACCGTGACTGTCCAACTTTGGAAAGTTCTTTGCTAGTTGCGAGAGCATGAGCTAATAATGAATCTGGAGACGGACCACTAACTTTGATGCCCATCCACTGATACAGATCAGTGTTCTCATCCCTTGCTGACCGCTTTCTACCACACATGTACGTGGTTACTTTAGTAACGGTAGACTACTGAAGACCATTAGAAATGAAATGAAAAAAATTCTGATTATCATGTTATTGCAAGATAGCTTTCATGTTTACAACGTATTAAATTACAAGATAGCAACCACTCCAGAAGCCTGTGAGTAATTTATTTCAAGATCGCCATACACTGATTTATCGAAAGGCTAGGCCAATGTTACTTACAGAGTCGGCACGTATTCATGTCATGCTCCAATTATTATTAATATCGTTCGTTATTTTCATGCCTCCAAATTAGGCTCCAAATGAAATGGGGTTTAACGTCCTACTGACTAGGCTACTGTTCTGCTCCGACTGGGCCAATGAAGACGAGCATACGCCATGCAGTGTGCTATGATTAGTATGATGAAGGAAGTTTTGCCCGGAGAGCGGCACTACCTCCTACTGATCTTATAACTTATATCGAATTCCAACTGCCAAGCGATCTTTTACGTGTAGGGCCTACCTACGCCAATGTTTACACGGGACCTAGTTTTCTCCCATCCGAACGACTAGACAGCAACGCCGGATTAACCATGGTGGGGGCGCTTGGGCCTGGAACATGTGGGGACCCCCGATCACCGACCGCGAGCGCCGATGGCGCGTAGACCCGAAATTTTCAGAAATTGGAGGCCGGATGATTTCCTGGCATTTCAGACACTTGTGTCGGAGCCATAATTAGAAGTACCTCCCCCAGAAAAAAATAAAATTCTGCCACAAAATTAGCGCATTCTGGCGTTATTTCAGTGGACCAATCCATGCGAGTGC